GAGACATAAGAAAAGTTTTTTATAGAAAGGACACTGTTCACAATAAAGTAGGTATTAACTTGCTGTATGGCAAGTATGAATATATGATATGAGATACAAAGTCAGAGGAAAAGTTTGGAATTTTGCCTGTGGTAATTTGAGTGAGCTGTACGTAAGAGATTCTTTAAGCAAAAATGAGAAATGGTAGTGGGAATTTCACAGAAAGGTCAGACATTTTACAAAAATGAAAGCTGATGTAATAAATATATATTTAAAAATAAAGTAAAATGAATCAAAATCCTAAAATAAATGAATAAATAAAATGATCCTATGGAACCTCAAAAAATTTCAAACAAAAACACTTTTTTCAGTTCCAAAATCTGTCTTTTGAGTCTAGGATAATTCCACAAAGTAAGAAAATAAAACTTTGTTTTTTAATTAACCATATCAAAGCTATCTTGAATTATAGTGAGTTACATTTTTGTTTTTTGAAAATATTTCTTTCTAACAGGGAATAAATCTCAAATGGTATTGTCTGTATAGACCATACCCACAAATAATGTTATTTTTGCTTGTTTTTTGAGCTAAAATACATGAACATAGAGAAATCAAATGGCCTACCTGGGTGCTTATTTTCTAAAACAGAACCAGCCAGGATTCAGGGTGGACTTTGTGTTTCCTTTAGTAAAAACATATTATTAGAAAGTACAAAATACCACTAATGTTTTCTGTAGAACAGTAAGCACTTTACCTTATAGATCCTAGATAAAGTCTGAGAGAAGTTGGCTTACTATTTAATTATTTGGATAAGCCCCCAAAATATTCTTAATAAAATCATATAAAATGAAGTTGAACCAAGTTATTAAATGGTTATAAGACATCATGGGGCTTAGTTCTTTACACCCACAAAAATATATGGGTACATTGTAATCAAGCAACTCTTTTAAGTATTTGAGTTTTTATTCTGAGCTTCTCAAGCACAGTATCAATCTATGCTGCCAAGACTTCTGCTTTCAAGCCCGCCTCTCACTGACACCTCCTCCTCAGCGTGGGGAGGCTCTGAGGGAAAAGGGTGAACTGTGAGCTGTTCTTCCTGCTCTTTTTTTATCAATGAGGAAAAGATTTTGTACAGAAAAAAGAGGGTAAAGTAAAGGCTTTAACAAGATTCAGACATCCCCTAGGCCTGTATGTTTTGTATTCATGTGAGGAATTAAGTTTGGGACTATGTAAGAAATAAGGAAAGATGGACCCAACTTTATTAAGTAAATGTATCATGAAACAAACAGATCAGTTGTTAATTGCTTGGGGAATTAGGAGTTTAAATTTCACGTGCTATTTTCCTTTGCAAGAGTAATGAAATATCTACCGGTTTTACTTCCTTTTCTGAATGAATACTTATATATTTTTCTGAATCAACTTATTTTATTACTGGTTCAAGATAGGTATGTTTAGAGATAGTTTCCATAGCAAATTTCCATAGTAGATAGTTTTAGGATCAGCATTTGGGTGAGACCTACCGAATCTTTCACTGAGTTTCTTTTTTTTTTTTTAACTTTTTTTCTTTAAAGATTGATTTATTTATCCATACAGAACTGGGGTACAGGCCAGAGGCTCAGGAACGGTGAGAGGCTTCACCAGAGACAGAGTGGGGAGCAGAACAGGCAGATCGACGAAGTACACTGCTGAGGGGAAGGGGAGCAGCGGGTGGGTCAGGAGAGGTCTGCCACGCCATGTGGTCACCTCCAAGGCAGGCGGGAATCGAACTCATGCGGAAATGGCTTTAGCTTCTCAGTGCTGTGCTTTAACCCACTGCGCCACCAGGGAGGGCCACTGAGTTTCTTTTTAAAAAAAATATTTATTTATTTATGTGTACAAGAACTAGGGTACAGGCCAGAGTTGTGGGGGTGGGGGAGAGGATTCACCAGAGACAGAGTGTGAATAACAGGCAGATTGGCTGAAAAACACTGCTGAGGGGAGCAGCAGGGGAGACACACCAGGTGTGTCAGCTCCCTGGCAGAGGATCGAACTTGTTCTGCAGCATCTGAGGACAGCTTCATAGTGCTGCGCTTTAACCTGTTGCCCCATAAGGGAGGGCCCCATGATTTTAATTTATAATTGATTAGTCTGCTATCTTATTATTATTAATTGTTGTTATTATTTATTACAAACATTTCTTTTGTAAAAGCAGTCATCAATTTTCTAAATTGGTCACTTTTCCAAAAATGGTGTTCTTACTTATTCAACCATTAATCTCATATCCACTTATTCAGCAAACATCCCCTAAGTATAGACTATGCATTATTTAATCAGCTGCCACTGATTGTAACCAAAATAAATGAAAAGGAATGAATTAACCAGAAACTTTCAAAAAATGATGACCATTGAATGAGTTTATATGAGAGTGTGGTTAAATTTGACTGAAGCTATCTTCTAAACCCACATTGATGCCCTGATTTTTGGAGGACTACTCTGAAGACAGATGTAGGCTAAAACCACTGAGTAATGAGACAAAATCCAAATGGTCATTTTAGAGGAAATGGCATACACACTGTTAAAGCAAATGCAGTTTGTTTATATTATAGAACTATTCTCTCTTCTGTTGAACTAATATTCCCCTCCTTCATTCCATTCCGGATACCCCTGCAGTCTTGATAGTTCCAGCACACACCTGACACACTTTCACCTAAGACCTTTGCTCTACCTTTATCCACTACCTGAAATATACTTTCTTCACATCTTTGGTCAAATCTCAGTTTCTCTAGAAGCCTAAAGCTGACCTCTATTTAATATTGTCCTCTAACCATATACTCCACTTTTTATCCTGCTCTACTTTTCATGTTTCCTCAGTAGTTATTACTCTGTAATATGCTATGTAGGTCAATTATGCATTTAAAGTGTTCATTATCTTTCTCTGTGGTGAAACTATAAAAACTCCATGATGATAGGAAATGTTGTCTGCTTTATGTACTAGGTCAAGGCCAGATACCTAGTTACCTCAGAAAACCATAATTATTTCCTTTTTAGCAAATATATATTTTATAGCTATAATATCAGTAGTGAATTTGAACTTGGTTATGGTGATAATTTGTTTCCTTAGAGCTTCTGTAACTAAAATAGTGCTTAATATCTGCAATTGATATAAATGGTTGCCAATCAGAACCCACAGATTTTTTTACTTTTTAAATTAATTTATATTCTTACATCGTTATTCATTGATGTACAGTGTTTGCCTACAACAGGTGCAGGCCCCGTTGTTCTTCCGCCTCCACAATGGACCTCCACAGTCCCCTGCGCTCTTCCCTCCTAGATTTTGAACCCTGCTATATGCCCAGTTTATCTTTAATGTCTTCTTTCCATACTTTAGAGTGATTTCTGTACTGCTGTGCTTGCCATAGATTGATCTTATGTATGGCTATGAAATTCTCGTAAATATTTTTAAACACCCCTGTATTTATATGTGAATATGAAGTAACAGTCATGGAATATATAAGCTGTGTACATTTTAAGTTTCATAGAATAAAAAACAGTTTGAGGAGTTTTTGTTTTCTCTTGGCCATCTTTTTATTGATGAACAGATTATTTAAATCTGAGTCAAACAAATATATTCAGAGGTCTCTGGAATAGTAAAGTGTCAATAAGTAGTAATTAGACACTTCAGTAAGAAAAAACAGCACTTATTTTAATTGAACTTATAAATTTAAATCAATTTTCCATTCATTTTTTGCAAGCATTAGATCTAATTTAAAAAACCACTTTGAATATAATTCCAGAGGTATAAAATTTTAGTTTGTTATGACACTATTTTTTTTCATTAACTAATCATTTGTACCATCTTCAAAGTACATAGCCCTATATAATATTTATTCAATAAAACAGAGAATTAGGACCCTCCCTGGTGGCACAGAGGGTTAAAGTGCAGCACTAAGAAGCGAAAGCCACTTCAGCATGAGTTCAATCCCCCCCAGCCCCAGATGTGATCCACATGGCCCAGCAGACCTCTCCTGACCTGCCCACTGTTCCCCTCAGCAGTGTACCTCCTCGATCTGCCTTTTCTGCTCCCCACTCTGTCTCTGGTGAATCCTCTCACTGCCCCTGAGCCTCTAGCCTATACCCCAGTTCTGTATGCACAAATAAATAAAACTTAAAAAAAAAAACAGAGAAATAAAGTATTTAAGTGTTTTTATTATTGTTGTATAGTGTTTCAAAATTGTTTTATCATTTAATTAGGTGTGTGCTTTCTTAAAAAAAAAAAATCTTAAGAAGATTAAGGCCCAGAAATTCTCTGCTTAAGCAATAAAGGCCTTTGATTTGTATATAATTTTCTGAATAATTTGCATGTTAATTATGATTGTAATGCAAAAAATATTTATTGCAAATATTGTACTGAATATATTCATACTCTGAGAAACATTATTTTATTCTTCCACTATAAAGATTCTATGAGTCATTCTTTTGAAATGGCCTGTAATTTTTTTCTAATAACTTACCTTCCTTATATCGCTGAAATTATTACTTAAGTATCCAGTGTATCTTCTTGATTCTTGGCTTAGAATGTGGTAGATTTTGTAACAGCTATACTCTTCCCCCTGAAATGTCAGGAGGTCTCTGTGTTAGTGTAAAAGCAATGAAGATAAGCCTATAGACTCAACATAAGCACAATTCTAGATTTGTTTTTCCTGGCTCATCTGCTATCTTTGTATGTCCTATTGCTTGACCCTCATTCTGGCCAGTCACCCATTACAAGCTGATTAACTAGGGAAAAATAACAGTTAGGTGTACAATCTTGAAATTGAACAAAGCTAATATCCACTTAAAATTACCTCGAGAGCTTTGCCTCATTAACATTAATCAATAAAGCTTCAAATATTTAAAGAACAAAATTGATTGAAATAGAATCCTTACTGTTATTTATTACTGTATTAAACTGAGATTAATTTTTTAGACTATTGAAATGTGGCTAACTGCATTTTGTTTAATAAAATAAACAAGAAGAAAAGCATTTTCTTTGTTCTTTTCCATAGGTTTAGGCTTCAGTATTGCAGGAGGTGTGGGGAACCAACACATTCCTGGAGACAACAGCATTTATGTAACTAAAATTATAGATGGAGGAGCTGCACAGAAAGATGGAAGGTTGCAAGTAGGAGACAGATTACTAATGGTAAGTGTGACTCAAGCAAAGCTATGCATATGTTTATGAAGTTCTTGTTTTCCAGTGTATGAATGTCTTAGTGGATTCAGTCTGCCACAATTAAATACCATAGGCTGTCATAAACAACAGGAATTTATTTTTTCACACTTTTGAAAGCTGGGAAGTTCGAGATGAATTTTCTAGCCCCTACAGTTCCTGGTGAAATCTCTGTTTCTGGTTTGCAAACAACTGTTTTCTTGCTGTCACCAGATCTGGTCTTTTTTCTATGCTATCCTGAGACACCTCTCTCTCTTTCTCCTTGTGGTGAGGTAGAATGGAGGCTCCACTCTGAAATCACTTAATTTTCATTATTTTCCAAAGCTCCTATCTAGAAATACAGTCATAATGGGGTTGAAGGATTCACCATATAAAATTTCAACATATAGAAGCAAACATGGGTCAGAGATAGAAAAGAAGGGGCCCTCCCTGGTGGCTGAACAGGTTAAGGCGCAGCCCTGCAAGCTAACAGCAGCATCTTCAGTGTGAGTTCAATCCCCAGCCCTGGAGATGACCCACATGGCACAGCAGACCTCCCCTGACTAGCCACTGCTGCCCTCAGCAGTGTACTTGGTCAATCTGCCTGTTCTGTTCCCCACTTTGTCTCTGGTGGATCCTCTTACTGCTATGTAAGAGCAGTGTAGACCTCTGGCTTGTGCCCCAGTTCTGTATGCATAAACAAATCTTAAAAAAAAAAAAAAAAGAAAAGAAGGAAAAGCAGATTGTGTGATTAGAAATGTTAAAAGTATAGGTACAATTTTATCTGATTTGTCGACGGTTTAAAAAAGAAATCTGATTTTTTACCAGTTTTCTTAGGTACACCTGCTTCAGGAGGTCTGGGCAATGATAGAATCATCACAGGGCCACCCTTTCAAAGCCATGAAGTTATATAATAACTGAGACAAAATTAAGATAGTTATTTAGCAGTAAAACTTTGGGTTTTGTACTTAATAAATCTGCTTCATCTCCACTTACAATTTTATAGCAAACCTAAAGGATAATTAAATACTGGGAATTAATAGAAGACAGTTCTCTGTACAATAGTGATTAGTTCTCAGTATAATAATTATATTTAGTTATATGTCATCTCTTGTAAAATAGTACCTGTAATCTATGCTGCAAAGAGCTGTTACCTCCGACACTTTCCCATGAAGTGTTTGGGAAGGATGAACTCCTACAATCTCAACAGAGAAGTAATTTCTATAGCAAATGGCAAATTTTGGATGGGAAACCCAAAGTTTTGTATTAATTGGACCTCTTTCCCTGAGCTGTTGATAGCTTGCATTTAGTCCCACGAATTTCATCTTTTTGACTAACCCAATGGTCATTTTCTGAAACAGAAAAGTGCTAGGACATAAGACCTAACAACTTCTCTCTAGAAATTAGCTTTATTGTTTGTTGATCTAGGGATAAACTGTAATGTCAATCTTCTACACAGTGCTAAATTTAGAAATGAAGAGGACAGTTTCATTTTCAAGTAATTACTGTTTTAGGTAGTGGCTGATTTGACCTATGACTCATTGTGATGTAAAAATTCATCATTTGTAGACAACTTTTCTGGTAGTCTTTAATTGTTGCCATGGTAATATCATGCTAGATATTGTGTGCTGGTTCCTTAAAGTTGTGTTTGAATTTTTAGCATTATTTGCAAAATCTTAAAAAAAAAAAAAAAGCTCAAAGTTTAAATAATTTCCCAGGCACCATGCTATTTTTCCATTACCATTGTCTTGATATTCCTTGTAGATGTAATGATTTCAAAAATAGCTGTGACATAATCCTTAACTGTTTTGAGTTTAAGCATACTTAAAAAAAAAAATGAACCTTCAACAATAATAGGTCTTTCCTTTCTTATGTAAGGAAGGCATAATTAGTACTTCCAAGGCAACTGCCAAGCTGAATTTGGAAATGAAAGAAAATGATTCACTTTATAATATTGTGAAAGAAAAATGACCTGACAGAATAAAGAAAAGTAAATCACTGAAGCCATCCCAAAAGACCAATTATTTTGCTTCAACCCCAAAATATTTATTAATGTTCTCGCTTGTCATTCTCTTCCACCTCCTCTTCCCTTCACTACCTTACATTCTTTTTTTTTTTTTTAATTTTCTTCTCTCCTCCCCCAAGGGAAGTACAAATGATTTAGATCTGTGATTTACCAGCTCTACCACAGTCTATATTTTTTATGAAATAACTGTTCTTTCTAAAGCAATTTGCACCAGTCCTTTCTTCACTTCTTGAGAGAGTTTCTCCCATACATTACTCATTATAAGTAAACTGATTTTCTAAAATGAACATCCATTAATTTCTTTGAACTTTTGAGATGGAGCAACTCAATTTAAAAACTTTCCCAGAATCTGAGCTGCAATAAAATCAGTCTTTATTTTTTTGACTCTTAGAGATCACACTTTCATAACTTTGATATATATA